TCCTGCAAAAATGGCGGCTCATTAGATATGCAAATGAGGCTCGGCGATATTCCACACTTAGCCTCATTTGCATACTTCTGGTGCAAGATTGCGCCAGTGCAGACATAGCCTAAGTTTTTTAATAGCTGCGTTTGCTTAAAAAAAGTAAGCATTTCTTTGGATAGTTCGGATCTTGGCAAAATGCTGAAGTGTTAGCTATGTTTAAATTTGATATGTTTTTTTCCTTTATACAGAGAATTAGCCATGCATTTTAATTCTGTGGCCTTTCATACACTGAAATTGTATCATTTAACTAAAATCTCTCTTTTAAATCAACTTAAATGGGCCCTTTAAACCTGTTTGCAACAGGCTTATATCAAGTTTAGTTTAGTCACTTAAATTGGCTTCAAAATAGATGACCAGGCCCTTTTTTTGTTTAAGCTAAAGACAGTAGCAAACTAACTTCAGTTAAATCAGTTTACTCCAAAATAGAGTAAACACAGTCTTTCACACAGTCTTTCAAAAAAATGTGGTTTCATTCATTGGTGCAAGTTTGTGTACAGGACAGAAAATATTAAAGAGCAAAAGGAAAGTGTTTATGAAAATGCACAAGATGAATCACTTGCCTAACATATAACAGAGGGGTAGCTGTGTTAGTCTGAATCTGCATAAACAACAAGAAGTCCTGTGGCACCTTATAGACTAACAGATTTATTGAAGCATGAGCTTTCGTGGGCAAAGACCCACTTTGTCAGATGCATGTAGTGGAAATTCTAGAGGTAGATGTGTGTGTATGTGTGTGTGTGTATATATATATATACACAGACACATGAAAAGAAAAGAGTACCAATCGAGGAGGGCCAGAGATAATGAGGTCAGTTCAGTCAGGGATGTGGCCCGCTTCAGCAGCTGATGTGGAGGTGTGAACACCAAGAGAGGAGAACTGCTTTTGTAATTGGCTAGCCATTCACAGTCTTTGTTTAATCCTAAATTGATAGTGTCAAATTTGCAAATAAATTGTAGCTGTGCAGTTTCTCTTTGAAGTCTCTTTGCAGGATGGCTATTTTTAAATCTGCTACTGTGTGTCCAGGAAGATTGAAGTGTTCTCCTACAGGTTTTTGTATGTTACCATTCCTGATATCTGATTTGTGTCCGTTTATTCTTTAATGTAAGGACTATCTACTTTGGCCAATGTATATGGCAGAGAGGCATTACTGGCACACAATGACATATATTACTTTGGTAGCTGTGCAGGTGAATGAGCCCATGATGGTGTGGTTAATGTGGTTAGCTCCTGTGATGGTGTCATTGGTGTAGATATATGGGCAGAGTTGGCACCGAGGTTTGTTGCAGCGATTGGTTCCTGAATGAGAGTTACTGTGGTGTGGTATATAGTTGCTGGTGAGAATTTGCTTCAGGTTGGTGGGCTGTCTGAGAGAGGTCTGTGAGAGTGAGGGATTATTGTCCAGGATGGGTTGTAGATGACTGATGATGCCTTGGAGACGTTTTAGCTGGAGACTCTAGGTGATGGCCAATGGTGTTTTGTTATTTTCTTTATTGGGCCTGTCTTGTAGCAGGAGGCAACTGGATACATGTCTGGCTCTGTAAATCTATTTCCTCACTTCCTGGCCCAGTCAGGGCCACTGGCTCTGCTGCTGCTGGCCTGGCAGGGCTCCCAGTTACCTGCCCTCTTGTCACTGGACTTCACGCTGCTGGGACTGAGGGGTTGGAGCAAATGTGATTGTAACTTGTCCAGGAACATTCGTGGTCCTTTTGGATCATGGATGTTGCCAGACCAGAGTCCTGGTTTAGAGAGGTTCACTGTGTACTATTCAGAAAACAAAACACAGGATGACAAAGACAGAAAATTTAGTTCTCAAGGTATGGATTGCTTTGCATTGTTCAAGTCTAATATAATTGTAAGCAGGGTCAGGGTAAACTCTATCCTGACATCTAGTGGCGAACTGTGGCAAGTGGTGCAAAGAGACTTCAGGGGCTGAGCCCAATTTGCATAGACACACCCACCCTGTCTAGTATGTGCCACAGCAGCCCAAATCGTCACTTTGGCCACTGTGGGAGCCCCAGTCTCTCTGTTATTGAGGCAGAGGGGATAAAAGTGTTGTTACCCTGATTATGCGAATCAAGGACAATGTGCCCCTAGAGACAGCAGCATAGAAACCAGCCAGGTCCCCCCACTACGTCACAGCTTGTATTCCATCTTTATGTGGGATGTTGATGTAGAGAGCCTCTACATCCATATTGGCTAAGAAGGTGTTTTCTAGAAGATCACCAATGCGTTGTAGTTTTCTCAGGAAGTCAGTGGAGTCTCGAAGATAGCTGGGAGTGCTTGTGGCGTAGGATTTGCATAGAGAGTCTACATATCCAGACAGTCCTGCAGTGAGAGTGCCAATGCCTGAGATGATGGGGGCGTCCAGGATTTCCAGGTTTATGGATCTTGGGTAGTAGATAGAATAACCCTGGTTGGGGCTCTAGGGGTGTGTGTCTGTAGATTTGTTCCTGTGCTTTTGTAAGGAGTGTCGTGAGCAGATGGTGTAGTTTCTTTGTGTACTCCTCAGTGGGACCAGAGGATAGTGGCCTATAGAATGTGGTGTTGGAGAGTTGTCTGGCAGCCTCCTTTTGTTAGACTGACCTATACATGATGAAAACAGCACCTCCTTTATCAGTTGGGATGGTGAAACCCTGCCGGGTGACGATTGCTTTCTTCACGGCTGATGTTATGGGGCAAGCGATGCTCTTTTCCCACCATTTCTGCACGTTGGTGGAAGCATTAACATACTGCATCAACTTTGCTTTACAAAATTACAACAGATAGCAGATTCTTTGAAATTTAGGTTCAGGACACAGAAAGTGAAATAAGTGGTTGCATAGCTAGTTAGGTTTTTGTTTGCAGTGGTTATCAATTAATGTTTGCTAAGTGAATTTCCAAATAGTTTATATATGACCATAGTGTGGCTGATTTTATTTAATTTCCAATCTTATATTTGTCATATTCAATATCTGGAAAAAGTTGCATAGAGAGTCTGGAGAAAACAAACCAGGGCGTTTGCTGCATCAGGGAAGGTCAATCTTATATTTGTCATATTCAATATCTGGAAAAAGTTGCATAGAGAGTCTGGAGAAAACAAACCAGGGCGTTTGCTGCATCAGGGAAGGTCAACACCTGGCCCCTTTGCTGCTGGCTCCTGGTCTCTCCCCAGCCACTGAGCTCCCTTGCTGGTTGGCGGCCCCTGCTCCCAAAGATCTCCTCTCAGCT